TCCACTAATTCACAAGTCCTCCACTAATTCACAAGGTCCTCCACTAATTCACAAGGTCCTCCACTAATTCACAAGGTCCTCCACTAATTCACAAGGTCCTCCACTAATTCACAAGGTCCTCCACTAATTCACAAGTCCTCCACTAATTCACAAGGTCCTCCACTAATTCACAAGGTCCTCCACTAATTCACAAGTCCTCCACTAATTCACAAGGTCCTCCACTAATTCACAAGGTCCTCCACTAATTCACAAGGTCCTCCACTAATTCACAAGTCCTCCACTAATTCACAAGGTCCTCCACTAATTCACAAGGTCCTCCACTAATTCACAAGGTCCTCCACTAATTCACAAGTCCTCCACTAATTCACAAGGTCCTCCACTAATTCACAAGGTCCTCCACTAATTCACAAGTACCTTTCTCCTACAGAGTCTACCAAGTGTTGCATTGGCTTTGTTGTTTTTCTCATTTCCTCCTTGCCCATCCCAACTCTTATTTTTATTCACAAGTCCCCGATTCCTTCAGGATGGTTTTGTGATGAAATATAACCACTGAATGACGAGTTGCATCACCTTCCCTGTGCCCCTTTACACAGGAACACAATAGTTGATTCTTCTCATTTTGATATTTTCCTTACCATTAAGTTTTCCCTACAAAATTATGCAAGAATATAAAACACAGTATATCTACCTTTATTTGTTCACAGTCTTTCACTGAGAAAGTATGATTGCCCTCTTTTAAATGGGGAATGCGAGGAAGTGGGAGGCATAGAAAGATCTCCAGGAAACATGGACACAGGATTAACCTGCGGGGGGGGGGGGGGGGGGGGGGGGAATAGGTGTTATGTGTGTTAATTTCTAGGTTAGGGATCCAGAAAAACTTGCCCTAGTTAGGAGATCACCAGCTATTATATTTCTTTAGAACTTGCTTTAATGTCACATGATCAGCTCCTGTGAGTCTCCAGGTTTATGCAAAGATTGACTAGGAGGAGCGTTCCTCAGTCTCATGACATCAGGCAAGAACTCCACTGTAGGGGACGCTTATCAGATGTCCCAGGTTTTCCTGCTGGAGACTTAGGTGGATGGAAACAAATTAGGAAAGAGGGTGGAGCTCTGAGTTGTAAAGAATGAGGGGAGTGAGAACAGCTTGTAGTTTTTTTTTTTTTTTTTAATATATTTTATTGATTTTTTTACAGAGAGGAGGAGAGAGGGATAGAGAGCTAGAAACTTCGTCGATGAGAGAGAAACATCAACCAGCTGCCTCTTGCACACCCCCTACCGGGGATGTGCCTGCAACCAATGTACATGCCCTTGACCGGAATGGAACCTGGGACCTTTCAGTCCGCAGACCGACACTCAACCATAGAGCCAAACCGGTTTTGGCAGCTTGTAGTTTTTACTTGAATTTGACAGAGGTGAACTTTCCTTAACGACTCAAGTGTCTGGTTGTGGAAACTTAACTACTTCTCTGGTGAATTTTCCTTAACGACTTCTCCGAAAATCAAATTAAACAAGGCAAAGTAAGTGGTGGGAGTTCATAAATAGCAATGCTGTATGCGAAGGTAAGGCACACACAACCAGAGATGTTTTGTGTTTAAAGGGGAACAGTCACCATCCTTACTAAGGTGGAGACACTACTCTCTTAAGGAGTCCTCCCCAATGCCTGATCCATCTGAAGTGAGTTCTCAGATGCCCTCCCCAACTTCATAAGCAAACCAAGTACACCCCTGCGCTTCCCTTTCCCACAGGGGCCTGGGCTTTAAGGGATTTATTGAAGCATAATCCATAGAGCAGAAATGGACTTGTGGGCCGGCATAGTAGGCAAGTTTCTTTTTCTTACATCCCAGCAGAAACTTCATTTTCCTAAAGTGTTTGGATTCTCTTTACTAGCCCTAACACTTGTGCATTAAAAAAAAAAAAAAAAAAAAAAATGGAGAAAAGGTTATTCCTGTGGTCTCCCTTTAAAAATGTTAAATTCAAGCTGAAACCGGTTTGGCTCAGTGGATAGAGCTTCGGCCTGTGGACTGAAGGGTTCGATTCTGGTCAAGGGCCTGTGCGTTGGTTGCAGGCGCATCTCCAGTGAGGGGTGTGCAGGAGGCAGCTGATCAATGGTTCTCTCTCATCGATGTTTCTAACTATCCCTCTCTCTTCCTCTCTGTAATATATTTTAAAAAAATGATTCTCAATTGTGTTTAAAAATGTTAAATTCAAATATAGAACACAGAGCTCTTCCTATCAAGAGCCTTTGACCCCAGGTCCTGAACAAAAACACAGAGGAGGCCCTGGCAATCCTTACTGCAGATGATAGACCGTCTCTCCCTAGGCCTCCATTTATTTATAGTTTAGAAATCAGTGGGAAAGTCGGGATCAAAGGCAGGCTAATTCATACAGAAAGCTCTAGGACCACTTCACTTGGCTGGATGCTATAAAGAGTCTTTGATTCACATGGTTCACACGCAGCAAACACGTCCGGTAGGTTCAGAGTTCTTTCTGGCAATAAACCTCCAGTGTAAACAGGAAGACTCCGGGGGCCGCGTGCACATTTTAGGAACAAATTGTACTCATTATTCAGCACTCAGTCATTTCGACTTCGAGACAAGAGTAAAAATGATTAGTAAAAGTTGGGGTTTTAAGTTCAATGTAAAGGTTATTTACCATAACCACACAGAACAGTGTGTGTGTGTATTAGTAGTTTTAAAATATATATATTTTATTGATTTCAGAGAAGAAGGGAGAGGGAGAGAGAGACAGAAACATCAATGATGAGAGAGAATTATTGATCGTCTGCCTTCTGCACACCCCCTATTGGGGTGACTGAAATTGAACCTGGGACCCTTCAGTCCACAGGCCAACACTCTACCCACTGAGCCAAACCAGCTAGGGCTGTATTAGTAGTTTTATTAAAAGAAAGTGAAGGGCCTAATGCTATTTAGTACCCTTAAAAGAAACTGTGAAGTTGTATGACTATCAAGCACTTGACAATTATATCATCATTACTAAGACAAGAACTAATCACTCCAACGTATGCCATGATCAATACTGCACAGCAAGAATTTGAGCGTTTCCCCGAAGTTGGAATTGTGTAATTTTCAGAAGAACCATCCTTTGTATTTCAGGAAAAAAAAAAAAAAAAAAAAAAAAAGGTCAGTGAAACAAGAATTGATGACAGTTCTTTATGATAAAAAGTATAATTGTGTCTGGTTTCCAGTGGAAACAAAACAAAACTAAGAGGCCTTGGCCTTGGTGTCATGAGGGAGCTAAAGCCTGAGCCCTGAACTTTTCTTTCCGGGGAAGGGAAAGGTGGGGAGGAGCGCATCTGATTAGTTGCGGAGGGCACAGCCTAGGCCCCCTCTTCCAGGACAATCTTATCTGCTCCCTCCCACCCCAGCCCCCCAATGTCAGAACAAGCTTGAGGCTTTCCTGGAGCCAAAGCCAGCGCAGTGGAGCCGGTGCTCGGGCGGCTGCTGGTTTGCCATGAAGCAGCTGCTTCACGCAAACTCTCAGCAGGAGCTGTGCTCGCGCTGTGACGCTTCTCTCCTTGGGCTGGGAAAGCCTTCCTCCCACTCCCCTTAGCTCTCCGGGCAGCCACTGCAGCCAAGTGCAAGCAGATCGTGTATTTGGCACAAAGAGGAGGGGCATAGGGTCACTCGCCGGGTTCCCCCCACTTCCCCCAGCCCGGCCCTAGGTGGTGGAGTCTGCAGAACTGTCCCCCAGCCCAGACGCAGCTCGCGCGGCCGCAGGTGGCACGCGGAGCTGTCCAGCACCATCGGGGAGCGGGGAGCGGGGAGCGGGGAGCCGGGAGCCGGGAGCGGGGAGCGGGGAGCGGGGAGCGGGGAGCCGGGAGCCGGGAGCCCCGCGCGTCCAGCGGGCAGAGCGTTTGCCTTCCCCGTTCAGAGCCGGGTTCGCTCCGCGCCCCGCGACCCCAGGGGCGGCAAGCGCTGTCCCCAGGAGCTGCTCCGGCAGAAGAGGCGCCAACATGTGGCCCCGTCCCTGCTCCTTTGTGAGCTTCTCCTCTAAACAGGGGTGGGCTGGCCCGCCCGGCCTCGCCCCCAGCTCAGAACTTCCTAAACGAAGTCCCAGGAAGGCGGGAAAGGACACATACGGACCGTCACCCCCCACTGGGCGCGCCCAGGCTTCCCCCGGGAGGGTCCCCTCCCCGCAGCGCCCGCCGGACCCCCAGCCGCGGGCGAGGGGCGGGCGTTGGGGGTGAGGCCTGAGGTCTGATCCCAGCGACCGTGCACCCCTCGGAGGGGGCGGAGGCGGCGGGAGCGGGGAGGGCGCGCGGAGGGCGGCCACCGAGTGTCCTTGTGGCTCCCGAAACGTGGCGACAGGCGAGGCAGAGAGTCCCCATGAGTGTGACGGCGACACGTGACGCGGCGGAGGGAGGCTGGGGGTGGCGGATAAAGGGAGACGGAGGGGGGCGGGCTGCCGGGAGGGAGGGAGGGAGGGAGGAGGCGGGAGGAGCGGAGAAGCGGGGCGAGCCGGGCGGGCGCGCGGGCGGCGGCAGTTCAGCCTCCGGGACGCACGGGCCGCAGCCCTCCCCGCGGCCGGAGCCGCTCACCCCGGCTCCCCGCGGCCACCCCGGCTCCCCGCGGCCGCACCGGCTCCCCGCGGCCACCCCGGCTCCCCGCGGCCACCCCGGCTCCCCGCGGCCGGAGCGCGGCGCACGGTGATGCGCCGGGGCGGGCGCTGAGGCGGCGCCGCGCGGAGCTGCAGCAGAGGCGGCGGCGGCCCCCCCAAACCCAGCCCGAGAGCCCCCCAAGCCCAGCCCGGCGCCGCCGCCGACAGCTCCGGGCCCCAGCGAGCGGCGGCGCCCAAGTTCCCGCCATGAGCTGCGGGCTCCTCCGCGGGCTCCGCGGCTCCGGAGACTCCCGCCCGGCGGAGCGCGATCGCGGCGCCCCGCGGCCCCGCCGCGCCTGAGCCGCCGCCGCTCCCGCTCCCGCTCCCGCTCCCGCTCCCGCTCCCGCCGCCGCCGCGGCCCCGCAGCGCCGCCCGCAGCAGCGATGTCTCGGAGGAAGATTTCGTCCGAGTCCTTCAGCTCCCTGGGCTCCGACTACCTGGAGACCAGCCCCGAGGAGGAGGGCGAGTGCCCGCTGTCCAGGCTCTGCTGGAACGGCAGCCGGAGCCCGCCCGGCCAGCCCGAGGCCAGCGCGGCCGCCGCCGCCGCCGCCGCCGCCGCCGCCGCCGGGGCCCGGAGGGCGCAGCGCCGCCGGCGGGTCAACCTGGACTCGCTGGGCGAGAGCATCGGCCGCCTGACGGCGCCCTCGGTGAGCCGGGGAGGGCCGGGCGGAGGGGGGGCACGGGAATGGATCGGGAAAGTTGGCGCCGCCGGGCGAGGCGGGCGTGCGCGGAGCCCGGCCGCTGGGGGGCGGCCCGGCCTCACCCCGCCGGCCTGGGGTCCCGGTGGCACCCGGGGGAGACCCCGACCTCTGGGGCCTGGGACAGGGGGCGTTAGAGCGTGCTGGAGGGGTAAGACCTTGCATTGGAGGGGTTGGAGGGTCTCTGGTCTTGGGGGCCTGCCTGCCCACCCCAGCCTCTCACCCTCATTCATTCTGACGGCCCAGGGCTCCTTCCTTCGCACCCACCTGTTTTCTTCCTCCCAAACTTTCCCAGGCGCTGTGTCCGCACATCCCATTCCCATGCCCTTCATCCCTGTGGTCCCCAAGGGGCGCCTGGCCCTTCCAGGAAACTCTTCCTCTCCCCTTTCCCACACTCTTGTTCTCAGCGTGACCTCCTCTGACATCTCTGGATTCCTCAGGCTCTCTGCATTCAGGGACCATCCCTCTGCTCCAGGCTGCAGCCCTGGCTCTCAGATACTTGTTGAGTTGCCTTCTGATGAAACAAACAAACAAACAAACAAACAAAATCCTCTAGTTTCTTTCTCCACACCCCATAGACTTTTTTTTCTTTTCTTTTTTCTTTCTTATTCATTGAGCAGGATTAGCTCAACCCTCTTCTCTGGGCAACTCTGGTGTCTGGTTTTCCAGACCTCCCTGGTGTTTCTTGCCTCTGTACATCAAACCTTCACCCTGTTTCCTTCCCCTGACTTCCCCAGCGCTGTTTCACTCATTTTTTTTGTACCTTCCTTATATTAAGACCTTCACAGAGATCTGTTGAGTGAGCAAATGCCTCGCTAGCCTGGAAACGGGTGCTCATTGCGGGATGACTGTATCAGCAGTTCCAGGTGTGCCAGGCTCCCCTGGCTCCGGGCATCCTTCCAGTGCACTGTGCTCATTCCTGCTCAGCCATCTCAGCCACCCTTGGCTTGGTCCGTTTGCAGGAATGCCAGACCTGTGTTTTAGTCTTTCTGTCTGTGCGACCTCTGCTTCGAAGGAGTCCACAGTATTGCAGACAGGATAGGGATAAGATGCAGTGTCTGAGCCCCGTCCACCTTTCATTCCACTCCCTACAGTACTTTTTTACCGACTCCTGCTTGAGACTTCGACTTCTTTGAAGTCTCCAAAATGAAACTGAACTTTGATCTTGTTCGGCTCCTCTTAAGTCTCCTTGTGAAAGTCCTCTTGCAGCTGATGGTCGTCCTGCAAACATCCTGGTGGCCCTGGCACTAATGGGGCATGATCCTTTCTTTGAGTCATGACACACCTCTTCGGTTATCTTTCTTGTCTTGTATGTTTTGCCTTCAGTTTACCTTCTGTCACCTCTCCATGTCACTCATCCATAATTGGTAACATAGGAAACAAATCTCAAAATGGATTGGCTGCTGCTCGCTGCTCTTGACTCTAAATAAATCTCCCAGAAAGTGTAACTTTATGAACTATTTGATGTTGTTGACTCTAAGTCTTTATTAAAGGAGCCCAGTAATCGTGTGCAGATATCTGTAGCTTTGTGTAAATATCTACAGCAACATTTATGCAATATACTAGATCTTTAGTAACAACAGATCCATATTCGACTACAATGATTTTACTAAAGACAATGATTAATTTGGGGGAAATTTTGTTTTAAATGGTCTTGGAGTTTTCTTTTTACTAAGAATCAGAATTTACAAATATGTAAAAAAGCAATGGTGGTTCCCTGTAATGCTAATTTTACCTGCCTGTGGAGTAGATAAAAGAAACAGAACCCAGTTGGTTACTACCAGAACAAGGGAGAGGAAAATACTCTCTAATTTTTACCTTTATAAATAAAATTTGAACGACACTGGCTTTTTGCTGGATAAAAGGAATGCACCCAGGTAATGGTTTTTAGGATAAGAAATTTAAAAATAATTGTGGTGATCTAATAAAGGCAACAGCTATAGGTACTTGCCGTGCTGTCAATCTCCTCCATTTTGAAAGCTGAGACCATACTGGTGAACATAGCATAAACATTTTCAACATCATAGTTTCTGTATAAATAAATCTCATTGCATGACCATGTTGCCAATAGACTTAGTAACACGAATAAAACCCAGGTTATATTTCAAAGCAGGAACTTGTTTCTGTGGTTGCCAACCCCCCACCCTGTTTTCTGTTCTTTGGTGAGCTAGAACATTGCTTCAGAAAGTTCTAGAAGGTTTATTCCCCTGCACTGTCAGGATTCTAAACTTCTCCGAAAATACTTGTGGAGACAGTTTATGTCCTGCCTTTTATTTCTGGTTGTTTTGATTATGAGCTGTCTTGCATTTGTCACAATATACTTCAGGAAAAGCTGTGTTTGCCACGGAAGCTCTCTTCTCCTTAGTGGCTTCATCATGGAATGCTGTCCACTGGAGATTTATTACTCATTCATAATAATTCACAAGTAGGAAAATGGAGTGATTTTTAATAAATACTAGCATATTGTCAAGTGAATGAAACTAGTTGTTTGATCAATGGGATATTCAAAGTCTGGTTTTTGATATTTTAAAAGTCATTTTTATATACATTGATGCTGGATTTAAAGATTATAACACATTATACCAGTTTAATAATAAAAGTAAATTGAATTTATGAAATTTATAAAAATTTCGGAATTTGGGAGACCTGATTTTCATTCCTTGTGCCTTGGACAACTTAAACATTTTTATAGCTCCATCCATATCATTTTAACTCCAGGATCCTTCTCATTTGTAAGGTATTATACTTAGGATCCCCCCCTTATTCTGGGATAATACAGAGACATGTAATATATCATCAAGCTTTTGATAAACTGCCTTAGTGACATATAAAAGAAAAATAAGCACACATTATGAGTTTTAAATATTTGAGGGAAGTAGATTACTTAAATAGGATCATCAGAGCTATATTTATTCCACCCAATCATTAAGCGATATTGGAGGATCTGCTATGTGGCAAGTATTGTGCAAAGCATGGGCAATACAATAGCCAGAAGAAGAAAAAGAAAATTCCCAGTCTTTGGCCTCAGGCGACTTCTTTAATTATAGTCTTTATTTTAATGAAACTGTATTGAAGGGAATCACAAGAACTATATTGAGGGGAATCGTCAGTTGTCCTGGGGATGTCTAGGATAAGGTGTACTTGTCATCCACTTTGGGTAGTTTGTTTACTGTGAATCTGTGGAGTGCAGCCATAGCCATAAAAACAACCCTAAAGTCCCAACTGCAGGTGCATAAATCACTCATTGTGTTATTTATCTTGAAGTAATTGACTTGGGAACCCATGTGGAGAAACAGCTGGGGAGTGTACCCTTTCACCCTGACATGGGTTTTGGGGTTGCTAGTGTCAGCCTGTCAGTGAAGGTACTGAGACCGGCTGGAGGGCTAGGCTTCCCTCGTTTTCCTGTGGGAGGGCGACTGGCTGTTACAGCATTGCAGGTGGCTTTGTTGACTTCAGAAGCTGCAGGGCAGAGTGGCAGGAAGAAAAGTGACAGGACTGGGAGGATGACTGTGAAGGGGAGGAAAGCTACTGATAGACAATAATCCAAGGAAATGAGAGAACAGCGAGCAAAGAGAAAACTGAAAGGAAGTCGATTCAAGTAGCAAAAAAGGGAAAATGGTTTCACTGTTTTTGGAAAAGTATTATATTGATACAAGCCTAAGAAAAAGTGAAAGGACATAAGATACATATTTAGCCTCCCCTGATATTGACTACCATTAGCTTTCTGACATGCGTAAACTATTAAAAAAGCCTTGAGAGTGTGGGTGTAACTAGCATGTAAATAATGAAAAGTATACGGAATACATTTGTGAGGTGGGATATTTGATAACTTTTACCTTCATTGAAGTTTTTTAAAATCTGTACTCAATTTAGCTAACAAAGTCTGAGTAACAGATTCATCACAATTGGAAAGTTAGAGAAACTGTATTCACATTTGTAAAAAATGAACACTGTGATCTGAAATCAGAGTTTAATGACCATTTGTTGCTTTCCCTGCTGCATCCCTGATCCTGGAGCATGAAGGAGGCAGAGGTGAAGGAACAAGGCTCAGAGTTTGTCAGGGATTTGAATAACACCCTGCTGAGCCCCTTTCTAAATGTGAGCCCCTGCAAGAACCAACTCTTATATTATTAGGCCTTGGTTTCCTATTTTGTGAAAAACAATAATAACAATCGTGCAGATTTGTTGTGAACGAAGAGCAGCATTAAAAAAAAAAAAAAAAAAACACAAAACTTTTCGAACTCAATACGTGATAGTTTTGGGCCGAAATCCAGTACTTTCAACCAAATTTGAATGCTTCCAAATGATCTAAAAATGTCTTCTCTCTCAATAATTTACTTGCTGGTAATCTTTGAAAGAATTCATAGGTTAACTGATGTCATGTACCTAAGAAAGAACAAAGCATAATAAGAAGGAGTTGATTTTGTTGGCCCTGCCCAGTCAATCCATTATAAAATTAGAACTGGAGTCCCATTTGGCTTCCTGGCTATGACTTCTGTGTGTGTATGCAATCACTGCAGATTTGAGCAGTCCTGTCAATCTGCAGAGTGCTTTTTGACAATATGAAAGCCACTTTTATAAGTTTTATAAGAACACGTACAAGGGCTTACATATTTAGTTGAATGTAGGTTATTTCACAACAAATTATTTTTAAATTAGGGGGAAAAAATCAGGTGAAAGAGAAGTTGATTATTTCATTTGCCTGAGAATGTCAAATGTTCTCCATCCATTTCAGTCAAACTGATTTGTACAGTGTTCAAAGGTTTAGGCGATGAGATGCAGCAATTACCCAGCTGAAGGCATTTATGTTTTATGTGCAGTGATCTAGGCTTGTTTGGCTACCAGCTCAATTGTTGGATCTTCATTTTAAAGCTACATTTTGACAATGGAAAAATAACACCCACGATTATTAGTTAGTTCATAATTGATCTACCTTGAAGGACTCTGAG